AAGTGTATTCCCCTTATTAAAATGTGAAAAAACTTAAGTGTGGGTCAATTTGAAGAAAAATAAAGAGAAAATTATGAAAAGAAGGAAACAAAAATATATGGACAATAAGATTAGTTTGTGGATCCACGTGACTATAGCTTTGAGATTTTGCTTGATACTTGGACCATTCGTAAAGAAATGCTTGTTAAATATTTTATATTCCTAATTTAGTTAGATGGAATTGAAAGTGTTGATGGTGTAGAAAACTAATGGAAGAAGTGTCTCTTTAGTTTTTACTATTAGCACTTGACACTTGCGTAAAATAGTTGTTTTAATAATGATAGCCTTGAATATAGCCATTATTTGTGTGACGACCCCACCTCCCCCTAGGGCGTACCAAAGGATTTAACGGATTGCCTGCCCAGCTCTCGTCAGGATTCACTCACTCGAAACTTGAGAAAATAACTTACATTCATAGCAAATAAGTAACACAACAAGTTCAAAATTAATATATGCATTAATGCTCAGATCCAGCTACAAGGCTTATACACGTCCAAATACATTAACGTATTTACAATCCAAGTCCAATCAACCCTAGTCGGGTGCTAGTACGAGTACAATTCAAAATTTCAAAACTAAACTATTCTGTACAAGTCTCACGCCTCACTCGTACCCCCTGCTAAGGAAAACAAATGGAATGGGGTAAGTTATATGCTTAGTGAATAATCGGGACGTAAAATCACATCCAAATATACATGTAAACCAAGATATTTCACATCAATAAACAGAAATGTAACATCACAATGGTAGGATACGGGTGGTTTCAAAACCAATTCAATTCCCCGAGTTTGAACGCCTGTTGACACTCCGTCAATCAAAATACTCATGGTCCGTAGACTTCATTTATTTTTTCCGTTCACCTTATCAACCCCCGCTAGCCAATCAACAGCACACAACAGCTCTAGCAAAACAAAATCACTTAACTTTAATCAAAACTTTAATAAAGAACGAAATCCCAAGGTTAGCAGGGAACTATCTTCGATCAAACCCCGGTTGGCTCGAATAGTTCGTCTATCATTGGAACCGGACTGGAATCAAGCCCTGAGATATCCAATATCTCAATAGATGATATCTCTTAACAAAGTAATCAACAAAGTACTCATCCTAACAGCACACAGCATAAGAGGTTCAACTCAAGTCGTGTAATCGCCCTAACAGCACCCAGCAAAAGGGTGTTATTCAGCACAAAGCATGTATTCTCACATATTGAGTCAACAATAGAGAATGGGCTCAGGTCGAGTAAGATAAAGTACACTCTCGCCTAAGTACCCATTCAACATATACAAATCACATCGATAATTTATCATATAAACCAGCTTAATTACTCACTCAAAATAATTAGCGCGCAAATCAAGACACTTTATATGGGTTCATCGACTCCGTCCGATTCGTCACTGCCTATGATAGAAGATTATACTCAACTATCAGTCAACCGACCATCACAAATAGAAGTAAAGACTAAAACGGCCAAGACAGCAAAAACGGCAAAGAAATGCATGTACGCGTGCGCGGAAATGAAAACAGTATAAAAATGGGTTACATGGTTTTGATCATAACCAAGAGATGTGGTTATCCAATCAAGGTGTACTAAATAGCGTTTCGAAATTAAGACAAAGAGTTACAACTTTCATGAAGACAACTCAACTCAGTTTAGTGGATTTAGGTCGAATTTGCAGATTACAGAACCAGAACTCCAAAGGCTGGTTTATACCTCTAGTGAAAATTTGGGCAGCACGCCCTTTGTGTTTACCTATTTTTCAGCCATTTATGACTTCATTATTTTTCTCAATTAGTCCCAAAATCCCACACAAGCAATGTTACCACCATAGCCTTTCAATTAGACTCCAAAATCATCCATTTATAACATAAGTCTAATAAAACAACCAAAAATTAGTTTTTGAAGACAAAAGCTAAACATCAGATTTGACGTCTTATAGCATTTTAGCCACAACTGGAGCTACGTTTATTGGATTAGGATACACTTTATACCGTTTCGAAGCTAAGATAGAGAACTACAAGTCTCATGAAAACATCAACAACCAATTCGTGCATTGTCAATATCAAAATGTGTAATCACCAAGAAGACAGAAAACTGTCCACAAAATAGGGCATTTGGCAGTCAGGGGTATTTCTATCATTTCACAGGATACAGTACTCTGATTGAGATGAAATTTTTCAGGGAGTATATAACATTATTTCCTACAACTTTTATATTTTGACCTAAGCCTAATTAGGCCTCTAACATGGACGAATTAAATAGGTCAGAAGCTAAACAGGTTAGTTTCAATTTCTGAAATTTGAACTTTTCCTCTAAAATTTCATATCTAATAAGCATTCAATCATCAAAACCAACAATTATTAACTCTATAACATCCATTACTAGATAAATAACCATAATCAAGATTGAAAATGTAAACCCTAACTAATCATTCCACTATCTCATGCAAAACTCACTAATTAACCGTCATAACCCAAGATTATGAGTTTCTATCCAAACTTAAATAAGATTAAGGAAGAGGAAAAGGATAAACAGCCATGATACCTTCCTAGGATGCTTTTAGGAAAAGACCACAACCTTTCCTTCCAAAATTTTGCCACACGAAGGTTTAATCTTCCCTAAAGAGTAACTTCTATGGAGTGGTTTGCAAGATTTATGGTTGGAGTTCAAGATTGAGCAAGAAAATTGATTAGTGAAGATGAAGTTTCCCCTCCCTTTTCTCCCTCTATGGTTCGGCCAGCCTTGAAGAAGAATGAAGATGATTCTAGTCCAAATTAGATATTTAGCAAAGGTAAGAAATTGGTCAAAGTCCAACTTCCATAGGTTCATGACACTTGGCTTTTCTTTTCTAGACTTTTCTCTTATTTCTTTTGGTAAAAAATTGTGGCTAATTTAAAAGATATTTTAGGGTTAATTAGTTAAAATAAAACAAGGCTATTAAGGTCATAAGGTAGTGGTCAAATGGTGTACTCACTCAGTAACAAACGGTACCCGTCAGTTCCAACCGTTTTTCCTTAACTCGCATGTACTAGGGTTTTCACTTATAATTCACTATCTTATGATTATTACTTCTAATCACACACTTTTTTTTTATCTAAAACTCAGTCTTAATCATCAAATTTAGTATATACCCCGTACCGATTACTCACACTACGAAAAGATTAAAACCTTAGTTTACCCTAACGATGAATGAAAAGGAAAAACTCTTAATTCTATTCTTTATTCCAACTACTGGGGAGGTAAATGAGTAATATAGCTATTATAAAATAATTTAATCAAAATAAAAGAGTATTTTAAGAAAATATGAGGGATTTTACAACTCCATAGATCACCAACTTAATGTAATCCATAAGCTTAATTACACTTCATTAATCTACTAACTACCCAACCGTTATAGTTACCTATTCTCTTGCGTACCAATGATTAATTACCTAGCCAACCTCTAATTGTCTTCTAGTATCTTGTAATATAATATCCCTTAACACAGAACTCCAACTAGTTATCAAACATTATCGCACGTACTGCACTAGCGAGTCTCACGTCCAATATACACTGCTAATATTACACGAACTAATTTATATCGGGAAAATGTCTTGGAACTTAACTCCCTTCTAAAAGTAGCTAAAAAAAATCATTCTAGAAAATATATGCACAGAATTAAAATAATGGTTAGAAAATAAGAAAACTTTCAGGTTCTCACACTCTCCCTCTTACACAAAATCCGAGGTGTCACAGTTTGTATTTACTTGGTTTTGTTCTTGTACTTGAGGACAAGCACAGGCTAAGTGTAGGGGAGTTTGATAGAGTGTAAATTGTAGTATATTTACATGCATAAGTTTGATAGGGTGCTCGATGCAGTTTGTTGGTTTATTTGCTTAATCATAATATTGTGCCTGCGTCGAGTAGCAAGAATGTTATGCGGGTGGTGGATTGCTATCTCATGAACAAATTGGAGAATGGCTTGGGTGAGATAGCAGGGATACCCTTATAAATTGTGATTTTGGCTCATTGGGAGTTATATTGTTATTGCAAGGGCTAGATTGAGCTATTGAGGAAATTAGGTGGGTAGTGATACGAAGAATCAAAAGTTCGAGTGCCAAAAGATGAAAAGTTGGGAATTATTCGAATACCGGCGCCGAACTTGGCGCTGGACATCACCAAAAGTTGAATTATGTGAGTTGCACTTTGAAAACCAGCGCTGGACTTCAAGCCGGTCCTCATCGGACTCGTCATACGCGCGTGTTTCGTCTACGAGAAGAAACCTATTCCAAAGAGGATTCGAAGGTAATTTGTCATAACTATAAATAGGGGTCTTTTAGGTCTTTTTTGGGAGCTAGCAACCTTAGTTTTAGCCTAGAAACACTCTTACTCTCTAGAGAAGCCAAGCATAAAAGATCAAACCAAGAAGCATGCGAGCGACGAATCAGAGTAACAGCTGAGAAGTTCCCCGGCTCTTATTCTCTTCTTTGTATTAACTCTTTGGATTTGTGCTTTTAATCGTCCTAACATGTCGAACTAAATATTTTCTAGGGTTAGGGTTTACAAAGAGATTTTAATTGATTTCTCCAGTTAAATTCTTATCTCATGCTATGATCTATTTATCTTGTTCTTAATGCGTGTTTATGCCTAATCATCATGAGCATGAATGTTGGATTTGTGTTAAATTCAGAAAGGAAATATAACAGTGCACTAAATAAATAAATACATTTAGACTATTATGAGAGTAGGCTAGAGTATATGTGATGTACCTATATCACCAAGAATCTTAATGGGTTTAATTAAACTTTTACGACGATCGAGAGAGGCGTAGGATTCAATTTCTTTTATTTGTTTTTTTTAATTGGCTAACCCCATACATAGGGAGGGACGCCACCCTCGAATATTATTAAAAACCATAAAAATAGTTACATCGATGACTAGGTGCACATTGCCCTAATGCAAAGTACAGGAGTTCTTGTGCTATCTAAGACCATAGCCCCCTCGCGGGCCTTGGTAGCGCCGACTGTGAAGTGTAAATGACAATACCTGAACCTAACGCCCCCACCTTAGACAAAGCATCTGCCACTTGGTTCGCCTCACGATAACAATGTTCTACTGACCAACCCGTCCGGAGGACTGTTTGAATTGATTCAATTTTCGACCGTACCCGCCACGGGCACCTCGACTTATCGCGAAGGATGTTGACGAGCAATAGGGAGTCCACCTCTATCTGAACCCTGGAGAAACCCCGGGAAAGGTATTGCTGCACCCCATAGAGCAGTGACCTAGTTTCAGCCTGAAGGCTTATCAACTCCCCGAGAGGAATGGAGAACCCAAATATTAACGCTCCAGAAGAGTCCCTAAGCACACCACCCCCTCCACTAATCCCCGGATTGCCCGGCGAACATCCATCTGTGTTTAACTTGCAAATCTTGGTAGATGGCGTCTCCCAACGAACCACTGTATGCGAATATCAAGGCTTCCAACCATCCATACTAGAATAAAAGGCAGGCCAGGACGCACCTCCATCCGGTCCTCCCGCACATTGCCCACCAAAGAGCCCAACTACATCCGCCAAGATACGATCACAGATGGTCTTCCTACGTAAGAATTGACCTTCAAAATAGGCTAAATTCCGGGCCAACCAGATATGCGAGCAAATCATGCTAGGCACCACCGAGTGGACCGCCTCAACACAAGAGTGATGCGGCATTCGACACCACCAACCTACCAAGCGAGATCGAACCCCTGCCTCTCTGTATACCACACCCACCGCATGCCCAAAGAATCTCCAAAGGAATTGAGCAAGATCACCTTCCGAAAAAATATGGTCCAACGACTCTGATTGGAACTCCATACAACAAAAGTACTTCGATGGACCATGGACATTCAGCCTCCCTAGTGACGACGCTAAAAGCAACCGATCCCTCAACACACGTATCATGAAAAAGGCTATTTTGATAAGCAGTAAAGGATGCCAAACCCTATCAAACATGAAAGAGGCAGGCCGCTGGCCACCAGATATGGGGTAGGTTGAGGCGAGCGAGAAATCCCCAGATTCTATCAGACACCATTTAGCACTGTCTTGCCCGGACCCCATCGGGACAGGCTTTCTGACAATCTCTTCAACAATCGAATCCAAAACCCAACTCTGCAATAGATTGAGGTTTCACTGCCCATTCAACACAAAGTCCAATACCGAGTGATCTGAGACACTCTACAGCCGCTGGCACAAGGGGCCAGACCCCAACTAGTTGTCAAACCAAAAATTACACTGACCTGACTATACCATCCACCAGAGATTTTGTTCCGCCACTTCATGCACTCGGAGCATCCGCCGCCAAGCATCTAAACTACCCCCGGTCACCCCCACCATGCATGGGTGACCATGTCGACAATACTTGGCAGCATAAATGTGGCCCACTAGCAATCACTTGTACGAAACCGCCACCAGAGTTTGAAAGAAAAGGCAGTGAACACCTCCACTAAAGAGTGGACCCCGATTCTTCCATGTGATGTGTGAGAGCATAAATCACACCACTTGATCCAATGATGCCGAAAACCATTCTCCCTTTCCCCCAACAAAAAATTTGCCATGGCTCGTTCGGTCAAGGCCAGGACTCCTTTCGGGAGACTCGAGACCGTAAGCAGATGAGTCGGAATCGCCAATAAGACATGTTTAATAAGAATAATTCGGCCCCCAAAAGACAGACATCTGGACCGCCAGGCTGATATCTTATCGACAACTGACTGCACCAAATCCATAGAATACCCGCTCTTCCGCCGCCCAGAGAATAACGGGCAACCCAAATATCGCACCGGGAGTGACTTTAATACAAATCCTGTAACTTGCCGCACCCTAGCCACACAACGACTCGATGTCTTGTCATACACCAAAAAACCGCTCTTGTCAATATTAATCTGCTGACCCGACACCTCCTCATACCAGCCATTCGTCTGCATCACACAGCGAAGCGAAGTGGGGCAAGCACTTGAAAAAATGATGATATCATCAGCATAACTGAGGTGAGTAATCTTAGGGCACGCCCTTGGTACCACAAAGCACTTCTAGTCCTGATTTTCCAGCCAGTTGTTCAAGGCCCGAGACAACACTTCCGCACCAACGATGAATAGGCTTGGAGACAATGGATCCCCTTGACGAACTCCCTGCGAGGACTTAAAGAAGCCCACACTTGCCCCATTAATTAAGACATTTTAGATGCATCGAGAGGTGGTCTAAAATATATTCATGTGACGTTCATAACTTGGTAAGAAAAATACCTAGGAAATTAGTTCAAGATTCTGGAGTAAACCTGACACCCTAGGCTCGTACTCATTGATTTTCTCTCTTTTAATTAAGTTGATTTTTGTCAGCATTACATTCAAATTACTCTCTGATTTCGTCACTCTTTCAAATTATTCTCTCACAATAATTAAAGAAAGAAATTAGCTCGTCCCTTGGGTTCAACCTCTAGAATAATTTAGGTGATTTTATTATTACGATCGATCATGTGTGCTTGCAGGAATTCGTCGATCATGTACTTATAAAATGCATTGACTACATTTTCAATTCATCTAAGTGACTAACACATATGAATCACTTAGATATAAATTTTAGATAAAACGATCTTTGAAAGGTGAAATCCTTACCAAAAGGTAATTAAATAAGGTAAGATAGAATGTGAAACCAAACAAAATTAGACTTATGAATCTTTCACACTCGAGAGGAGGCAAACCCGATATTATTATTAGAAAAGAAAAAAGTTCCCAAAACAAAAAGGAAAAAAAGATCCCTGAATTATTTCTGTTCTTGAATCCTAGAAGCTAAAAGTAAGCACGTACACTTAGTTTCACATTATATCAAAATTTCTCATTTTATTGAGTCCCTTGAAACTCTTCCACCACTATTGTGAAGTAAAAAGCAAATTTACTTACTAGAAAATCACATGAACTCAAAGTGCTCAATTTGATTGCTTCAGTTTCATTGAAACCGTATTCGTTCAACTATAACAAATAACTCTATTGCCAATTAATATAAATAAAAGTTTAATCACAATCTAATTGCAAATTTAAAGTACTAGAAGTTTAATCAAATCCAATCTAATACATCTATTTATAATAATCCCACAGAATTCAGCCTTACATACGAACTTCAAAATATTATTTAGGTATGTCCTTTCCTGATTAAATATTGTTCACCCTTTTCATTAATTAGTTTAGTCAAACCATAGAAATATTGTTTTTATATTTATGCATTTCTATAAAAAACTAATTTTTGTTTAAAAACCCATCCAAGAAAATGTGTTCACAAGGATAAATTATTCCACTAAAATCCTTGATAAAGACCAACAACCCTCCAACAATGAAACTTATGCTCTTATGCCTTGGACATGTGCAAAACTGTGAAAAAACCAAAAGTTCAAGAATGAAGAGATTGATTTTTGTTGACAATGAAATAAGTCTTTTTTCATGTCCTTTATATACTTTTACACAAAAATTAAAACAAAAAGACAAAGAAAAGCCTCAATTAAACTTGCTTGTAGTCAAACAATGTTACTAAATTTTTGCTTCAAATTTATATGACATCTGAAAGTATGTGGTTTTTTGTGCAAAGCAATCAACCATGTAACAATCTTAATCACTACAATTATGAAGCCTTTTCCACACCTACTAATCTAAATTCTAATTTCTACAGGCATTTAATGCTCTATACCGAAAATCTAATTTTTTTTTATTAGTATAAGAAATGGTACAGGTAGACATTTTTAAATTCATTCAAAAATGCTCTATGTCCAATTTTTTTTTATTAGTGTGAGAAATGGTACAAGTAGACATTTTTAACTTCATTAAAAAATGTTTTATTGGACAAGTTGATTGTAGTTTACTTCAAACTTATGTTTCAAACAAAAAAAAAAACTGGCTACCAAAAAGCAAATGTCTATGTCTATTTTCCCAAGTGCACAATAGTTTTTGAGAAAAAATTTAGCCATTCTATAAGCATGAATATTTTTCTTAAATCTTCTTCTATTGCATAATGTCTTTAGTGAAGGCCCTTAAATTTGTTAAATTACATTTTAATTCAATTTGTATATACTTTGGACTTGAATTACTAAACTTCAATGTCATGCATATTACATTTGTTTAACAACTTGATTATTTTATTGTGAGAAGTGACAGTCTTCCAACGCCTCTGTGATGCCAGAATCATCATCTATTGGATACCTACTATTGTTCTACCATATCAAGTGTATTTTAACTTAGCATACTATGTTTGTGTCTATATTCATGTTTGCATCTTCAAAGGAAAAATAATTATAAAAAATAAGAATATATAGTCAATTCTCCCACTGATTCTCGCTTTACATGTATAGGGAACAAAAATTCAAGGAATACTATTTGGGGATAGAATCAAGCAATTTGATGGTACATTCTTTTCAACTAATACATATCTTATATAGAATGCTAACATCAATCCAATAAACAAGCAATTTATCAATGCTTATCCCCAATTTGAGCTACACCTAGAGAGAAACACAATTGTAACTAAGGAAAATGATGATATAAGCAAATTCAATGTTCCTTGCAACTTCATACAATACCAAAGCATTTTTTTAGTTGCAAAAGGAAACACCAATAGGTAATTTATATAATAATTTTCAAGTATTCAAGTTTTTTTAATATAAACATTTTTTATACTAAAAGAGTACTTGTACACCTAGATATCTTAGGTTTTGTATGCAAAGTAAAATCATGCTATTAGAAACAAAAGCAGCCAGGAGGAGTCATTTGCAGATGAGCTCTAATCATTATGGATAAAAAGTAAGTTCTAATACATTAATTAATTATTTAATGCTTCACTAGTTATGTTACATCTTGAATCATGTTATGAAAATTTTATTTTATTTTCAACTTGGTAATGTTTATCATAACTATTTGGGATGACCTGGCACTTAATGAAGGAAGCATACTATAAAATGAAGTTCATGAAAGACCTATCATTACCCTTTCAGGCCTTAACAAAAATGTCTACCAAGTTGCAAATCATACATCCATACAACAAACCAACCCTACTTAAATGATTCATACATCTATATAGACCTATATCTATGTATACAAGAAAGGATGAGTTACAAACCACTTATGTCACAACACTGGAGATTGACCCTATTTGCAAAGAAGCAAAAGATTTGAAAAAGTGGTAAGTCAAAATTATTTAGATAATAATACATAAACTAATGCATTTAAGCTTCTCATACTATTTCTCTCACAGGTTGAAAACATTGCTAGAGGCTCAAAACTTTGAAGAGCTACCATTGAATAAGCAAATTCAACAAATCATAGATGTTGCCCTCCATGGCATCATATAGAAAAGAGAAACACTAGAGGAGGTAAACAAATACTTTATCATCAATTTAGATCAAAAAATACCTAAACCTATGCACTTGCAAAATATAAATTATTATTTTAAAGCAACTGTGGATTCAGTTGAAAAGAAATCAAGACCATGGTACGATGCATGCAATGTACAATATTAGTTAGTAAAACACAAAATAGTGTTGGATGCCTCAATTGCACAAATGTCACATTAATTCCCAGGTAATATTTTCCTATGGCACAAAAAAAATCAATGAACTGATTGGGTTACTTAAACAAAAATTTGACTACATATACACATATGAAACAAAAATTGTTTAAACTTAATTCTTGTCCAAGGCAAATACATTGCCAAGGTTACATTGTTCGAGGACATGGCAGCATTTTACGTTGAATGCCCGATGGAAGATTACATTGAATTAATTAAACAGGTATAAAGATAATTAATATGCATACCAATAGTCAACACACATGGTATCTATGACAACTTTTTGCTATCTTGAATGATAGGATGATGGCACATCAAAATTCATTGAAAGACTAGAGACAACAACTTCAAAGAGTACAAGTTTCCCATCAAATTAGACCAAAAGGCAGAAATACGTAATGGCCAATTATCAGTTGTTGCAGAAGCCATTGAGTAGGTATAACACAAACCAAGTACAAAGATTGAAAAAGATAAAAAAGGAAAATGACTAAATACTAGTGATTGTTAGATACATTTCATATCATTATATATTTAATTACTTGTTTCATATTGGTGATTGTTTTCAAGAACAAACATTGACACTATGACATGATCAGAATTATTTATTATTCTTTCATTTATTAATGCGTGATATATTAACTTCTCTTCAATTCTAGAAATAGTTTTTATCCATTCTAGAATCGAAAGCACGTTTCCAAATATGTTCTTAATTAAGACCAGTTGCAGTTCAATTTCTGCGACACTCCGGATTTTTGTGTAAGAGGAA